TTTTTTTTACCATTGGTGGTAACGTCGGCCGAACAAACGACCAATTTTTTCATTTTTCTTTTCAAAAAAATCGGCCGATGTTCGACCCGTCTGTGGCCTGCATAAATCTGGGTGTAGATTTACTAAAACTGTTGCACCCAGAATCTGGTGCAGCTGTGCAAGTAACCAATTAGCTTCTCACTTCAGCTTGTTCAATTAAACTTTGACAATAAAACCTAGAAACTGATTGGCTACTATGCACAGCTGTACCAGATTCTACATGCACCAGTTTTAGTAAATCCCCCCATTTCATATCATTTATTCTGCTGTGCAAAACATTAATTTGTGCAACTTTGAAGCCAAGACAAAAATATAATAGCATGAAAAAGAGCAATATTTTACATGTGTTAAAAAATAATGGCTAAGCACATTATTGTAATCTGATATAATGCAACATTTATAATGCATGTTGCACAACGTGTGTTCAAAGCCCATCTTCTTTCTTTAGCAACTAAACATTTATTCACAGAAAACCTCTTTAGCAGCAACAACTGCTTATCAGTCTATCAGCACCTACCACATTTACCATGCATTACAATGGATCAAGTAATGTGAAGTATATGGGACTAATGATAAGAGCTTCACATGCATCAAAACTGAGCACAATGGATCTTCTGAAAGACTGCTTAGACAGTTCTAATCATCTATCACTGCTTCCACTGCTGCAGAAATTGATAATTTGTTATAATGAAACTACAGAAATACAAAATAACTTTTAATGTTACAGGTGGATGATGGATTAAATCCCATGTTGCCAGGCTCAAGGTAAAAGAATTCCCTCCAGGTTAAGCTCAAGTGCTAAAAGGCTTCACACATTCGCCAGACTCTATGATCAATATTTTACAAATGCAGAGTGTGCATTTCTATGGAAAAAGGTTAATAGGTGAAAGTGTACCATTATGTAAGTCCTGTCACTTTTTTAGTACAATGGCACTCAACTGAAGACTGCGTCTCTTTTTTGATTAATTGCTTGCAAAATAATAAAGATTTTGCATTTAACGTATCTATCTGCTACAAGAAGCAGATTCCCAAGAGTGGACATTAACATACAATCAAAGTACTGGCTCTGTTAGCTGAGCACAACATAGGATTCAGGATGTCACACAGAATGTCACATCCAGAATTATAATACAATACAGAACAACAAACATGTAGGCACCAAATAAAGATCAAAGTGATCGTAATCCTTTTTTATTTATTTATTTATTTTTAATAGCAAATATGTTACCTGCCCTGTCCAATGGTATTACACAGAGCAACCTTGATCCTCCTCTTCTCGGGTCCCGCTGCTGACTCTTCTGGCTCCTCCCTGCTGCTGAGTGCCCCCATAGCAAACCACTTGATATGAGGGCACTCATGCGGGCTTTCTCCTGAGCCACGCTCTGTGTGACCATTGACACAGTATGTGCCAATGGTCATACAGAGAGTGGATTACCCCCCCCCCCCGTTCTTTCCTCACAGGCTGTGATTGACAGCAGCAGGAGTCAATGGCCACTTTTTGCTGCCTCTGAGCCAATGAGGAGAGAGAGAGCACTGCTGCTCAGGCGCAGCAGGCTCAGGTAAGTATTGAGGGGGGGGGGGCTGCAGTCTGTATATGCAGTAAAGCACGCTTGTTATATTCACTGTGGAACCCAAGGTGTTAATCTTCTGCATTGTGTAAAAATGCTGCTTGATCCTGACTTCTCTAAGACATATTGTGTGGAGTCACTCTGCACATGATTAGTTTGGTGTGTATTGTAAGAGAGTTTTTTTTTTTTCTTGGGAGAGTGCTTGTGATCAGCACAGGGCCAATCAGCACTGTCCAGACAGAGGTCAGAGGTTCCGCATCTTCTTATAGCAGAATGAAAACTCTTACAAGCTTTAACATGTGTTCTGCTGGACACTGATAGAAGTCACAAGACTGCTTATGAGAAAAGGTATTTAGCAGTTTATATTTACTAAAATAATTGTATTTCCATGTTGTGTGTACTGTGGGAAACCAGATATAGTGAATGCAGGGTCCTGGGTTTAGTAACACTTTAAGGTAAAAAAAACCTTCTGCCTTTAGAACCACTTTAAATGCACCATGATTCCTAAATAAATTATTTAGTAAAAGACAGTAATGCACAACTGACAAAGTTTCAAACTCAGTCTGGACTGTTCCATTTAGGATGACCACATGCCAATAAACCTCTAACATAATGATCGGTGAGCTCAACTGGGAAACTGAGGAAATGTGGAGCTGTTTCTCCACAGCATCCAATCAGTGTGAAGTGACACAAAATTATGTTATTCTCCAGAAATAATTCATACACATATACTACGTAAAGGCCCTGTAGTCTACGTCTACGTTGTCACTTACTGTGTTCTCTGCCTCTTTGTTACGTTCCCCTTTGTGAGCTTCTGAACCTATTTTTCCCCCTCAATTCTGTTCATTTAGAACAAGCAGGGCACATTATTTGCAGTCATGTGCACTGCTCTATGCACACTACAAGTCCCATAGTCTCCAGCCCATTTTGGCAGTGAACAAAGGAGGGTGCCTACATACAGCGGGACCAAGACGAATGAAGTTACTTTTTTGATTTAGGAATACATGCTTGAGTAGAATTTTGTTTAAACCAGCGTCACTTAAATTTTTATATGAAAGAAATGATGCTATGGTGGAAAAAAACACTTTTGATGCAGATTTCATAAATTAGTCACATGTCCATAGGTCAACAACTACAGTCATTAATATTCACTGGCAGCAGCGATGTGTTTATTTTTCACTATTCACTATGTGGCCATTTTGGCTTGTTACAAAAGCTACTCAGCCACTGGACTTACTTCTTACCCTGCCCCCACCTGTACAGCACCATGCTACTATGCTAGCATACCAATACCACCTTCGCATGACTACAGAGACCTTGGAATAGATGCACTTTCTGCATAAATTAAGTTCTCAAATAATTAACAAGGTCAAAGCTTTGTGAAAAGTTGATATATTGCATATACAAGGATGGGATTTTATCCTACAATTAATTACGGCAAAAAATCAATTACATTAAAAAAATTTAAAAAAAAATCACATAGCTCCCACAGGAAGCTATGTGACACCCACAGGAAGGAAGAGGAGACCGTGTGAGTATAGGACCAAAAAAGAGGAAGTAATCCACCACTCTGTGCAAGATCCTTGTAAGTATAGAGTAGAGTAAGTATAACTTCATTTTTATTTTAATTAAACAAATAATGTTTAGTATCACTTTAATTCTACCATGTTACAAAACTCTGGTTCTGCCACATCTTGAATATGTTGTCTAGTTCTGGTCAACAGACAACAACTAGGTCAATTAATATCCCTGTTCTTTTTCAGTAAATAGGAAAGGTTATGGTGTCTGTCTCTATGTGAGAAGTGATCTCAGAGTGAGTGTGAAAAAGGACCTAGTTGATGGAGAGTGTGATGAGGCTGAAGTATTATGGGTGGAACTGCACATGGGGGTGCGTACTACAAAGGTAATCATTGGACTTTGTTATAGGCCTCTTAGTGTTAATGAGGAGGGTGAAACTCAGCTCCTTGCACAGATCGAAAAGGGCTGCAAGGGCTGGGACAGTGATAATAATGGGGGATTTTAACTACCCGGAAATTGACTGGAGTAATGGTACTGCAGGAACAGTTAAAGGGCAAAAATGTTTAAACCTACTACAGGACAATTTTATATTACAGTTCATAGAGGCCCCTACTAGGAATGATGCTCTGCTGGACCTTAAACTATGCAGAGCTTATTACAAATGTCCATATAAATGAACATCTGGGTAGCAGTGACCATAACATGATTTAATTTTTTGTTAGCTGTAAACAGCAAGCACATACGGGAAAAATAAAAATGCTCAATTTCAATAGAGCTAATTTTCCAAGGCTGAGAGCTGCTCTCCAAGACTTAGACTGGGAGGGAACATTGATGAACACAACACAGAAATGGGAGTTCTTCAAAAAGACTGTATGTGAACACACTGCAAAATATATTACCATGGGCAACAAGTTTAAAAGGCTAAAAACCAAACCTATGTGGCTTACGGCCAAAGTTAAAAAGGCTATAGATAATAAGAAAAGAGCTTTTATTCAATATAAAAATTAAGGAACACTATCATCGTTTAAACATTACAAAGAGTATAAAAGAATATGCAAAAAGTAAAAAAAAGGCCGCAAAAATTGAAAACAAACGACAGATAGCAAAAGATAGCAGGACCAACCCCAAAAATTTCTTCAAATATATTAATAGTAAAAAGGTGCGGTCTGAGCATGGAGGCCCCTATACAAAATAATGGGGTGATGGGAGTGGGTGACTGGGGACAAAAAGAAGGCAAATTTATTTAATACCTTCTTCAGCTCTGTGTATACAAAGGAGCATGGGGGAGCTCTTGTCCTTAATGGGCATGGTATTGACACAGCTCCAGATGATCCACATTGGCTCACAACTGATATGATCCAAAAATATTTAGACAGTATAAAGGTGAATAAAGCACCTGGACCGGATGGCATACACCCACGGTCCTTAACCACTTGCCTACCAGGCACTTATACCCCTTATTTACCAGGCCAATTTTCAGCTTTCAGCGCTGCCGCACTTTGATTAACAATTGCGCGGTCATGCAACATTGTACCCATGTGAAATTTTGATCATTTTTTTCTCACAAATAGAGCTTTCTTTTGGTGGTATTTAGTCGCCACTGGGCACTTTACTTTTTGCACTATAAATAAAAAAAGTGCAAAAAATTTGAAAAAAAAAAAAAAGTTTCTTTGTTTCTATTATACAATTTTTCAAACAGGTAATTTTTCTCCTTCACTGATGTGCATTGATGAGCAGCAGATGGCACTGCACTGATGGGCACTGATAGGCAGCACTAAAGGGCACTGATAGGCAGTACTAATGAGGTGGCATGGATAGGCGGCACTGATAGACAGCACTAATGAGGTGTCACGGATAGGCGGCACTAATATGCAGCACTGATAGGCGGCACTGATAGGTGACACTAATGATGGGTACTGATAGACGGCACTGACTGGCATCACTGCTGGGCACTGACTGGTGGCACTGACTGGCACAACCGCTGGGCACTGACTGGTGGCACTGACTGGCAGCACTGCTGGGATGCACTGGTGGGTGGCACTGGTGGGCAGCACTGGTGGGTGGCACTGGTGGGCACAGGTGTGTGGCACTGCTGGGCACAGGTAGGTGGCACTTCTGGGCACAGGTGTGTGACACTGCAGAGTGGCACAGGTGGGTGCACTGCTGCACTGGTGCACAGGTGGGCGGAGCACAGTAGTGGGCGCACTGCTGGGCACAGGTGGGCGGAACTTGCGGGTGGCACTGCTGGGCACCGATCATCAGGGCACTGATCATCAGTGCCCTGATGATCGGTGCCGATCCCCGCTCTGACAACTGCCGGTTCTCGGCAGTACTTTCCTCACGATCTGACAGCGTGAGGAAAGTGCAGCCGAGAACCAGCACTTGCATTTCCCTCTGATCAGCGTGTCATTGGACACCGCTGATCACGTGGTAAAAGGCCGCTGTGATTGGCCTTTTACCACATCACGTGATCAGCTGTGTCCGTAGGACACAGCAATCACGGAGATCGCCAAGTGCACGCCCCCTGGGGCGAGCAGGAGAGCGCATTCTGGGAGGACGTCGTATGACGTCCACTCAGAACTGGCCGGCCGCAGTGCAGCCATCATTCGGCTATCTGCGGTCGGCAACTAGTTAAAGAATTGAGCTCTGTCATTTCAAAGCCATTGTTTCTAATTTTTAGGGACTGTTTTAATGACTGACATTGTACCAGTGGTACCAGTAAAGCCAATGTGGTGCCAATATTTAAAAAGGGGTCAAAATCTTTACCAAGTAATTATAGACCTGTTAGTTTAACTTCTATTGTTGGGAAGATACTGGAGAGTTTAATAAAAGACCACATACTGTAGATGAGTTCTTGCTGGAAAAAAATATTTTAAGCAACAGACAGCATGGATTCATGAAAGACATGAAAACAAATCTGATTTCTTTTTATGAGGGGGGGTGAGCAAAACCTTGGACAGAGGAGTGGCTGTGGACATGGTATACTTGGATTTTGCAAAAGTGTTTGACACAGTTCCCCACACACAGCTAATGTGTAAGGTAAAGTCTATGGGCTTGGAAAAATCCCTATGTAAATGGATAGTAAACTGGTTAAAAGATCGTATTCAAAGAGTAGTAGTTAATGAATCATACTCTGAATGGTCTGGAGTCATCAGTGGTGTACCCCTGGGTTCAGCGTTGGGACCCTTACTTTTTAATATATTTATAAACGATATAGGGTCTGAGATTAAAAAAATCCCATTTCAGTCTTTGCAGATAGGCACCAAGCTGTGCAGTGGAATAACATCCTTACAGGATGTCTTCAACTTACAAGCCGACCTCAGTGCTCTGTTTAATTGGGCAACTATGTGGCAAATGAGGTTTAATGTTGATACAAGTAAGGTTCTGCACTTGGGGGCTAAGAATATGCATGCATCATACATACTAGGGGGGGGTACAACTGGGGGAATCAATGGTGGAGAAGGATCTGGGAGTTCTGGTAGATCACAAGCTTAATAATGCCATGAAATGCCAAGCTGTGGTTTCTAAAGTGAGCAAAATCCTCTCTTGTATTAAAAGAGGTATAGACTCCAGAGAGAGAGATATCATATTACCCCTGTGCAAATCAATAGTAACACCTCATCTGGAATATGCAGTTCAGTTTTGAGCACCAATTCACAAAAAGAACATTGGGGAACTTGAGAAAGTACAGAGAACGGCAACCAAACTGCTACAAGGCATGGAGGAGATCAGCTATGAGGAAAGATCAGAACTGAATTTATTCTTTCTTGAGAAGAGGAGATTAAGGGGGGATATGATCAACATGTATAAATACATCAGTGGTTCATATAGTGAACTCGGTGTAGAGCCATTCACCCTGAGGTCATCACAGAGGCTGCTCTCCTGATATGGATCACATACCGGTTCATACCTCTTCATCTCAATATCCTGGGCATGGCAATTGGTAGTTTATAGATCATAGCTTAGAATGAAGATATTCTTTGGTGCAGCTCATAGGATGGGACAAGGACAGTGGACTTCAGAAAAGATCAACAGCTATTCTCTGTATTTGCTGAAAACATTCTTAGATTGAAAACAACTTTAGAAATAAAACTATTGCTCCTACCACATCTAAGAATTGTAAGCTGCAATATATTGCTTTTTGTTTTTAGGTTCAGTAATCCTTCATGTAAATGGGTTACTGAATTAATAAATGCAGTGCAATACCATGGTTACAAAAACAGACATTAAGACAGCTCCTGGTGGAGTATTTCGGCTCAAGAAAAATAAAGAATTTAGGACATGACCCTGGCAAACAAAGGGGCAGATCAATTCTACCAGGTTAAAGAATACATATCCCAACATTTCAAATTCCTGATATGTGATTGATACACCATGTACTTGTATGATGAAGTTTCCTGCTCGATTTGTATTGCTTCCTTTGTGCAAAATCCCAGGTGTTCCTGACAGTCCCTCTACTTTCCTATTAAAAACAGACCACACTAAGCATAATTAGTTCTCAAGCTATTCCGGGAACTCAGTGTGCTCTCCTCCAATGATCAGGCCTGTGCAAATATGCCCCTCATGCACAGCGATTCACTGGGAAGTTCAGTGTGCTACTGTTCTGCTACCTGAGCTCCTTATGCAGGTGAGAACAGAGGGTATGTGATCACTTATTAAAAAAAGGGGGAAAATGGTATTTATAATGTTTTTTATATAGTATACAAAAATGCTTTGCCTTTCATTTCTACTTTAAACTGAATGGGTTGTTTTACAAGGTGAGGGTTTACATATGCTTTAGTTCCCTATGGGACCAAGCTTATTGTGTGGCCCATACATTGTATATCCCTATAGTGCAGTTTTGTCTTAGAAAGGATTGTACTTTATCACACAGTGACAATGGTGTGATGACATGTACCCATTTTGCATAAAAGACATATTTAGAGGGATCCTGCACTGGCAATCAATTAAATAAAAACCCCATTAATGACCACTCACAAGAGGTAACAGAAAATATTTACCATTTCTAAGCCTTTCTTTTTTGTAAGAACATTCTGTACATTTGGGAATGTAGGACAATACCTGTCACTATTGCTTTTACATTTTATATGAATAGATATAATTCTTTATCTTGTCTTCCACAGTTTTTCCCATGCACACAAATAACCATCTTTTATAAAAGGAGGCAAGATGCTCTTACAGCTTTTATCACCGAAGAGCAACGCTGGAAATGCATATACTGCACTTTATTATATACATTGTACTTTATGGGTTTTGTTTGGTTACCTTGACATGCCAGCTGCTATACCACGAAGCGCTCACTTTTGTTTTATTGCGATTGTATATTCAGTTATGTTATGGAAAATAAAGCTAAATAAATACATAATAATACCAAAAAGTTGCTGCATTTATTCAATATCTTTGTCCAGCAAAATTATTGGCAATCGCTATTTTATAGTTTTCCTAATAAAGCAAAGAGCTGTGACACATAGCAACAAATCAACCATTACCTTTCATTGTTCTACTTCAGTAAATTAGCAAAAGGTAAAATCTAATTAGTTGATGTGTATTATTGAACATTGCACATTATCATTGCTCCTTGCTCTCAATACCTTATGTTCAAAATAGCAAAGTTATTCTCTACTAACACAAAAAAGTGCATTAATAATACAACAGATTCGGTGATGCTATCCACATCATTGAGTTTTTAATCCTAATGCAATTTATTAGAGATTCATGAATTAATTCATATTCAGGTTGGTTTTAATAAGGCAATATAAAGAGCAGCAAGGATTTGCAAAGCATAGTAACACACTGCAGCCAGGCAGAATTCCTCTAACATTGGTTTACAACAAGAAGAATAAAATATGATTGGCTGTTAACTGCACACTAAAACAGTCCATTTTACAATGTGGCTGGTGTCTACTCACAGCAGTAGTGATGAGTAGTGCCTTGCAGGGGCGGACTGACCATTTGGAAACTCGGGCACTGCCCGAGGGCCCAGGGTCCGTAGGGGGCCCCATGAGATGCCCCTGGTACCTTTTTCAAAGGCTTTTTTAAGTTTGGGCAAGGACACAGGGGCCCCATGATCCCCTATTGCCCGGGGGCCCCATGAGTTGTCAGTCCGCCCCTGGTGCCTTGTGTTTTACAGCACAAAGCATGTTTTTTTTTTTTTTATTACTTTATTAAAGTGTCACAAATGTTAAGATGTGGCAAGCAAGGCCAGCAGACTATCAGTATGCATTAAAAAGGGTATCTACTCAAAAGATAAAACTATATTTCTATGAATTTACAAAATTCTAGTTCAGCCACAACTTAAGCATGCCGTCCAGTTCTGGTCCCCGAACCTCAGAAGAGAGGTCCTTGAACTGGAGAGAATTTAGAGAAGGCAACAAACCTAATAAGGGGGCAGAGGATATCAGTTATGAGTTATGAGGAACAACTACAAACCTAAGAGGCGATATGATTGCAATGCACAAATCAGTGAATGGTGACTCCAACATTGGGAGAAACTATTCAACCTAAGGTCTCTAAAGAAGATGACCACACAATGAAGTTAAATGAGAAGTGATTCAATCTGAAACTGCTTAAGCATTTTTTTTTTACTGCTAGAACAGTTGGGACGTGGAACTCCCCTATACAGTTGGTGGTGTCAGTAGGGAGCATAGATAAATTCAAAAATCTTTTAGATGTGTTTCTTAGCAAACGCAGTGTTCAGGGATATGGAAAATAATAGTAACATAAACACACACACATTCTGGTGACTGATGGCAACCTTACCAACTATGTAACTATTGAACTTCCCTAAAGTCTCCGCACAGCAGCATATTGCATTGTGATCAGTTGTGCTGTGAAAAAATGCAGCATGTGTGCTTGGGTGGGGTGGGGGGGGGGGGGGACAATCGTTTTCTATATTCCCTTGCAGTGAACCTGTGTTGATCTGGTGTATATTATTGCCGGTCATCGCATACAGTGTGAATGAGCTCTTAATGGTGGATAATTTGTATAGCTGTCACATTCCCAATGAAAATAAATCTGATTGTGTGTGTGTTGGCCTCTTTTTTACCCAGGGCTTTACTAAATGGGGCCTTACATAGTATATAAATCTTTACAGAAGCATGAATGTGTATAGCTTTATACCAGGCTCGAACATACATAACATGGGTTTTTACAGTACTGCAATAAATATTCACATTTAATTGCTTGATTCTCATGTTACCTTTCTGACTGACAACAGAGCCATAAACATTCATATCACCATATGTTTATA